TTTCGTCGCAGTATGTGGTGCGCATTGGGCGAGTGCATATTTGGCACAACCAGCGGGACCTAAGGAGTTTTTTTTTCATTTTTATCCAGAAGTTTTTTTAGCAACTTTGTGCGATATACTCAATTTTTCAAGTGCCAGTAATCGAGTTTCACTTTATGCTTATTTTTGTGCACAGCGGCGTTCGAACAGCTACCAAACTGAGTTTTGTCCACTTCCGGACCTTCCTGGATTCAACACTTTGCCACGTATTAGCAGTGGCTTTAGGAACTTTTGAATTTACGTTCATTACGATTATGGCACGTGCTGATCGTTTAAAATTACATAGTCTGGTGCCCTCTTGTTAACTATATTTAATAGCAAAGCAAATAGGTCTGTCTGGGCTAGGAAGTGAATACATCCGACAGTGTCCGGACAAGTGTGTGCAGTCCGAGGAAAGTCTGCTTAGGCGGCCTGTGCCAATGGATTGAGGTTTTGCCTTAATGTTCGCATTTTCACTTGTTGTCCCGGTATTTCTCTGCCCAGGATAACGATGAATTCGTCACAGGTTCACTGCAGCGTCATCTTCTCTGGTAAACGCAGAATGTGAGGCCTATTTGAGTGGGATGTTTGCGGTTGAAGCGTAGTTAGGAGAGGCATGTGCATGATCACTGCGGGTTTATTGGTGGCCTGTGCAGCCTTTTCATTACTTTATTGATTGTATTCTTGCAAGTTATCCTGCTTAAGCACTTCCATGGCAAGTAGGTGCGGTGGAGAAGGGGAGCAAGCGAGTAAAGACGACGTGACTTGTACTTTTCGGTTCGAGAGCACTCAGAGTCGTCGAGGCATTCCTGCAAAAATACTTCGCACGATTTTGTGCAGCGTTGCAGCACGCAGTTACAGCAAAACCCGGCTGAGGGAAGTACCATTGTCCATTAAGAAGTAAAGAAGATTGAGGAGCAACCACTAAAACTCGGCTTGGCTCAAAAATTGAATTGCAATGACTGGGGTGGGGAAGGAGAGATGGAAGACTTGTCACATAATTTTTCACATAGTGATT